CCAGCCTGGCGGGCGCGCCAGACGTCGCGCATGAGTATGCGGCGTCAGGCGTTAGAGCGATGCTAGGAAGGGGGCCAGCGTAGGCGACTGCGAAGCAGGATGAGGTGGTGGTGGAGGTGGATCTGCATTGGGACGAAAGGAAGGTTTACCGGTATCTGCACGACATGTGTCGAGCAACGCGATGGATGGATGGGATGGGGCACTACAGGCATGGACATCTTAACAGTCTGTGGGACTTTAGGTGGTGCGTACTAGCTGTCAAGTTGGCTTTTGGGACAAAGCAAGCGAAGTGGAGGGATGTGGTGGGTGGCCTTTTGTGGAGGCTGACTATATTCGTTGCACTGCATTTATTCTCCGTTATCGCACTGCATGCGGTTTCTCGACGTTGATGCTGGCTCTCACGGCATATGCGCTGTCAGTCTTCTTTCGGTATCGTTTGGCGAGACAGCATGATCAAATCTCAATGCATACTGCACTGCACTCGCATTCTCTTCCAACAACGCGAACGCGGTGTTCTCATAATACCCATACCATGCAATGAGCCGTCCAATCCAGCTTAGGCGCCAGGGAACAACGGCCTTGCTTCCCAGCGCAACGGTAGTCGCAATACGAGTCGCGTGGTATAACACAGCTGCACCTCATCTCGCCATCAACGTCTTGGCTTCCCAGCCACCAAGTCCCACAGCATAAACTTTGCAAATAGTCATGAGGGCGAAGAAATACTGATCGTCCTATGATACCCTCAGTACAGTCATTCCCAGCTAAAAGCGAAAAAATTTCGCTTGCAGCTATCCATCTTGGCTAACTACTCGATAGTTCGCTTTCATGCCGCTTCCGCCCCGCCTCACCCTATCCTATATCACCTTTCGCTGCTAATAACTTCCCGCCTAGCTTCCCTTACCCGAAAATGTATCATCCAGTACCCCACGCCGATCCACATAGAACGTCGACCAGGAGCCAGGATTTGTATTTTCCACTCACCCTTGGTTCTTGCGGCTTTTCACATCATGGGTCTTCCTTGAGCGCGCTAATGTCGCCATCTCCGAAGCGGTTTGCGGTGCCGTCCTTCGTGATGTGGGGAGGGGGGAAAAGAGACGGTAAAAGCACACCAGTGACCGGATATCGTCTGTTCCGCTCGAGGCGCGCCATCATAGTCTCGATCTTATATGCCCTAGCTTGTCTTAACGGCGGCCTCAAACTTAATCGTAACGTTGAGTGGGCAGGCAAAGCGGTCGGTACAGCTGTCCGAAGCAGAATATCAAGGTCCCTTGTGTATATGACAACAGCAAATTTTTGTTTTTTGCCATTTTGAAAATAGGCAATATTCGCAATTGCCTTCATGTTGTCAAGGCTATCATGCGAAAGAGTTGTTGGTGATACAGCGCGCTTAGGTCACGTTGGGTTGGAGAATCCAATCCCTTTTAGCCGACGGGCTTTCGTTAACGCGCGCTCCCGCGGGGCGCCTTGGAGCGGGAGATTTGCAGTCGATCTGTGCGTACGCTGCGTCTCCTCGTGGCAAGCCTGAAACGTCGGTAATGCACCGTGAACTGTGGTTTTCGCCTGGGGATTGTCTACTTGGTGCAAGGAGAAATCTCGCGCGATGCCTCATTCCAAGGTTCGTAAGGGAGGAAAGGAATATCGCTAAACCAACACAGCACACTACGGCTAATGGTGCATCACTAATTAAAGAAGATGCGAATGCGAGCAGTTCGTCTCGGATGCGCATTTAGGGTTTGTAAAAGGAATGCCCTTTGCAGGTCGGGGGTTTGAGGCTGTCTGCCGCGGACACCGTCTTGCGAAGAGAGTCTTTCCGACCCCTGGAGGTACCTAGGCAGATCCACTGTGTTGGAAAATTACGTTCCCTTTCCTGGGAACCGTTAGCGATTGGTCGCTGGGAATGAGCGCTACAATGAGAAAGACACACTCTGGCGCATTGCTTTTGTGCTCGCTGCCGCCTGCGCAACTGCGATGTGGCCAGAGGGGCACCATGGTTCGCGAAGACACACCCAAGGTACCATCAACCAAACCACAGTTCCACTTCGTGGAAAAAGGATAGCCTGCATACTCAAATATTGAGGTCAGAACGGGCTGGAATAGACGCAGTAGTAGTAGTAGTAATGAGAAAGACATTCATCACACCAATATCACGTCGAGTGTAGCGCGTGCTGCCGTGTGTTCCAGCCTTATCCGCCCCATAGTATCCATACATAGCTGCGAGTCATGGTGGTCGTTATGAAACGCTCCACCACTCATTTTCCTTTTTCGTTCCAGCTTACTGGTGCTGTTATGGGTCCACACATGACGCAAGGATGGTGCACACTTCTTTCCCGAAGGTCGTAAAGTAAGTTCAGAGATTATCGCTGACAGCCGTGGTGCTGTGGTTCTCATCTATCTGTAACACAATGGGTATCCCAGTTTTGGTAGCCTGGCGCGATCCCCGTATGCGGACGTGTGACTGACAGGCCGGGGTGAGCGCTTCGCTTGCATCAATTCCAATGTGTGACGAGTGGTAGCGTTGGTGATGGTCAAGCGATGTCCATGGATGGCAGACGGTGATGCTGTGCACTAGAGCAGTGGACGCCGTTTCGCGGGCTGGGAGATGCCGCAATTCGCTTTCATGGGCCGCGGACTAGCGCTACTGATGCCGGTAGTGGTGTGCTGTGAAGTATTGAATATTGACAAATTCTCTCGAAGATGGAGCCCTGCCTGTATTCACCGGTTTGGTGTTGTGATATGTTGTCACACCTCAATGGAAGATAGTGTGGGACGCCTTGATCCGAGAAACACACTGCAACACCCCAACGTCCCTCATGGTAGCCTATCACCAGACCTGCGGCAACGTCCTCAGGCCGCCATCTTGTGGCTGCGAGCCGTTCGCCCGTTGAACTTCGTATTCGAAGTTTGTTTGAGCCACACACCCACGCGCGCAAGCATGGCTAGTCCTGTACGACATTTGACGTCTGCTGCCGTTCATCGGTGTGGTAAACCTTCGGTGGGCGCGACGCGCCGATGTGAACGCCTCTAACTTTGTCTCGACGACCCATGCATGACAACGGTGGGCTGATGGTTCCTTCATCAAGTGGATCAATGTGACTAGATGGCGATCAGGTCAACATTGAGCTCGTTCTCCGCGTTCCCGAGGGTGGCTGCCACCAAACTTGCCTGTAACCGATGGTCGTGGTTGTCTGAGGCAGAGTCTGGGTCGCGCATAGATGTGGGCTGGAAAAGGCCCGGATAACCCCATCCTACTTGAAGACCGACTTTGTGATTCCGGTCATTTTCCCGGACTAGGTACTTATCGAACGATCGTTGAAGATAAAACCGAGGTACTACCGTGAACCAATGCAGGTGGAGTGCCAACGTCATCATGAGAAAACCACATCCGAAGTCCCAACACAATTCACGGAAGTCTCTCAAGCTCCGTGTACGGCGTGGTCGCATTCAAAATGGATACTTTTCCATGAACCAGCGGGGTCTGGGGAGAAGCGACGCGAAGGAGGGGCGAATGTGTGGATCCGGGGCAGTGTCGCGTGCCTGTGACTCGTCAAGATAGATGCGCCTTCCTCATTGACGAGTGGCGCCTATGGCTGGGCTTTCGAGCGCTTTCCATCATATCTTCATGTCATCGTCACTGACTCACACACCTCCATGAACCTCCCATGAAGCACTATGGTCCAGCCGCTATTTCCCAGTATTACTCAAGACGATGATAAAACCGCGCAGCGTCTCAGCGAGCACGAAATCGAGGCTGAATCCTCACTTAAACCCGGCGATAAAACCGATGAGGCGCTAAGCGTTCATCGCGGGGCAATTCGTGTACCCTCTCCGAATCCATCGCTCATATCAATAGACGATGCGAATGTTGTACGACTTGGTCGGAATCCAGACTATGCTCCTGTATACCATGAAGAATATGCTTCACGTTCATCCGCTCCTCCGCGGACTCTCAAAGAGAAGATCGACTTGTTTTGGACGGCGAACAAGGGTTTAGCGTACGTCTTGCTCGCTCAGTTCTTCGGAAACTTGATGAACGTTACCACGAGAATATTGGAAATGGAAGGAAACAGCGGTAGGCAAAAGGTCTTCCGGCGATATCAACATGTGCTGATCTAAGTGTAGGTAATGGCTACCACCCATTCCAGATCTTGTTCGCAAGGATGAGTATCACCACAGCATGTGCTTTATTCTACATGTGGTATCGCAAGATAGAGCACTTTCCCTTCGGCATGAAGGAAGTTCGGTCTTTGCTAGTCGCTCGAGGATTATTTGGCTTCTTCGGAGTCTTTGGCATGTACTGTATGTCACTTACCCCCCTTCTTAGGACCATGCGTTTGCAGTAACTTGTCTCAGCTCGTCTGATATTGGATCACGTCTGAAGGTTATTGCTACTGCATCGCTGTGATGGATTCCACAGTACATCATATCGGTCTTACGTACTTGACAAAGTGCTGACCATCCTAGATTCTCTGATGTACCTACCTCTGGCCGATGCCACCGTCATCACATTCCTCTCACCATCACTCGCTTGCTGGGCGTGCTCATACTTCATCAACGAACCGTTCACCAGGATGGAGCAGATAGCTGCGTACATCTCGCTATTCGGCGTCGTCTTGATCGCAAGACCCGTTTCGTTATTCTCTGCGCTATCGCATTCCAGCGACCCGGTTCCTGCCTCCGGTGGCTTAGACGCCATTCCGTCAAACACCACTGCGACTTCACCGGATCGTCTCGCTGCGGACTACGATGATGTGACACCCACGCAACGAGCAGCAGCAGTAGGAGTAGCGATGTTGGGTGTGATAGGGTCAACAGGAGCATATACCACCATTCGATGGATCGGCAAGCGCGCGCATCCGCTCATATCTGTCACTTACTTTGCAACATGGTGCACGATTGTTAGTATGGTGGCAATGGCTTTCATGCCAGGCGTTGGCTTTCTACTCCCCAAAGGCGTAAAAGACTGGTCTTACCTGCTCTTTCTGGGTATCTGTGGATTCGTCATGGTAAGTCTGGTCTAGAACCGTGCGTCGCGCATCTATTAACGTGACGTAGCAATTCCTCCTAGCCGCGGGTCTCCAATACGAGAAGTCTTCTCGCGCAACCAACATGCTCTACATGCAGATGTTCTTCGCGCTTGGTTTCGACAAGCTGATCTGGGGTACAACGCCGAGTGCCTTATCCATTGTTGGGTCGTCGCTCATCCTGGGTTCGGCCATATACGTTGCAATGAACAAGGAACAGCCGAAGAAGACAGCTGAGCCAATGGGTAGAGGAGACAGCGAGGAAGAAAGGGGGTTGATGTCGCCAGCTTATGACGTCGAGCGAAGGGATGATGATGACGCCGATATACAGATGCGACCACTGAGATGATGCTTCAGCGTTCCTTTTAGATTTACTGTAACGTTTCACGCGCATGAGGAATAGACTGCTAGACTGCTTTGCATAAGTATAAGTATAAACAGGAGTCAGAACATAGACGCTTCGCAAAACCATCTCTTGTAGTTGTCTAAAACTATTGCATATTATCACACCTCGAACAATGTGCGCCCTTCTTGCCGCTCTTGCCGTCATGAATTTCTGATTCGTTGTTAACGCTTTCATTATGTGTTGGGTGATGCCGCGGCGGAGGTCTCGGAAGTGATATGTAGCTACCCCACCTGCGCTCCACGCGCAATCTGCGATCTCAAACTGACGAGGAGCCACACAGGCAAGCAAGGTTAGCTCATCATCTCCTGCATCATCGTACTATATATTATAACATTTTCACCAGCACTTCATCAACAAATCCTCTGTGGCGCAATTGGCTAGCGCGTCTGACTGTTACGTTAGTAGCTAGTTATCAGGAGGTTGGAAGTTCGAGCCTTCCCGGAGGAGGATTATCTTTTTGCCTCGCCAGCATCCTTTTGCACCCCACCATACCAATACAACAATAGCTATGTGGCTGTGAAGCATCACATTCATGTGGCGAAAGTGATGAGGTTGCTGCATTTTTGCTTCGAGAAGATAGTAATTGTATTGCTCCTAAAGTGAACGATCCCATTATGCGATTGACAGCTCATTCGCCGCCCCAAACAGCTGTCGTCTAAACCCTACTCCTCTGCACACTCGCAAACCTCATCCTTCCGTCTTCAATCTTCAGCACGTTGACCGGGACCTTGACGCGCAACGGCTCTTCGCCTGGTAGATTCATCGGCGCTGAGAAACCTGCTACATGCGAAACAGCACTGTCGCATGTCGGGCATTTCCAGTTTCTGCGGCTTGAGTCCACATCTTCGTCGGTGTTCTGCTCGATGCGCTTGATGCAGATGTTGCAAAATTGGTGGTCGCAGGGGCGGATACTGGGGATGATTAGTATACAAAGCTTGGGAAGGGAAGAGAGAGGGAAATAGTAGATAGGAACGTACATGCAATCGCACAGCCTGAGTTCGCATGTCGTGCACATCTTCGGTTTCTTCGGGTCGAATTCTGGTTCCGTGCTTATGCCGATGTGTTGGTCCATTTGACTAACGCTCTTCACCTTGTCAAAGTCACCTCCATCAAGGCGCTCGTCTACCTTCTCCTCGACGACGAAGTATTGGCCTCCGGCCTCTGTGTATGCCTTCACGTCGGTATTTGGTGGAGTTGGAACGATGTGCGTCACTTTCTCGCAGCTTACAGGGTCGAGGATGTGTATGTGGAGGATGCGCGCTGCGGCGTGGTTCCATGTTGTGGGTGGGTAGGGGTCTTTGTATATGTCTTGGACTGTACGGCAGCTTAGTGGATGATGAAGGTGAGCTAAAGAGGGGATAGACATACTCAGCTTGCCGCCTGCGGCTAGACCCATGGCTTTGATGTTTTTGGTTTCGATGACTTGGAGGTCCGGATTGTCTATACCACCTTCGCCCGCGACATCTTCCTCACCGTCCCACACGTCTTCCCTGTCCATATCTACGGCCGAGTCGTCTGCTTCTAGAGCGTTATTACGCGTAGGAAAGTGGTCTGTTAAACCGGCGTAACCTGATGATGTAATGTAACCCGGTGATACAGAGTATGACGAGGTTATTGATGCGTGTGCGGTAGACATCCTTGTCATATTATTGCTCCGGACCCGTTGCCGCTTCTTGGAAGTGAACGATCGCCCTTCTATGTCGGACCAATTGACCGCCTTGCAACTACATATCAACGACATTCTCGACAGGGGATCAGTAGAACTTACCATACACTCGATAACTCCATCTGATGCCGCAAAATGCTTCGCCTTGAACGGCTCCTCATACGTACGATCAGTCGGGTAGCATCTCAACACATCGCCAATTTTGCAACCCAGCTGTTCAGGCGTCTTGTATTCAAGGAGACCGTCATGAAGGTTACCACTGTCTTTCAGGAAATACCTTTCTTTACCGTGAGACCAGAAGCGTTGGTTGGGAAGGCATCCAGGCGTGATTTCGAGCTGAAGTCCACCGTACTGCTCTTTTGACGTCTTCTGACCTTCGACAGTGTAGCCAGAACCGACTTTGTCTAATTAGTTGATGATTTGAGGACTGAGTATGAGACGTACGTGGCATAGCAATGAACTGGCGAACAACACCAGGCGCTACACAGATACCATCTAGCCATTGCTGACCTGGTACAACAACGTAGTCCTGCTCGAGCTCACCATCTTGATCAGAAGCCATTTCTTCCATTGTGATACCAGAAAGGGCGTTGACGTGGCCCATGAAGATGCGGACGGCACACATGTCGCCTGGCGTTGTCGGCTCAAAGTTGAGCCACATGGCCTCTCGCTGCCACATTGGGAAGAAGACACCACCACTGTCACTAATATTTTCGGGTAGGCGATCGGCATATGAATTTACGCTAAATAGGTCGTAACTTCCTAGTGAGCCTGGCAGTTGGTGCAGTTTGTTATCGTCTGGCATTCTTGGGGTCCGTTCCAGGGATACGTGAAATCCACAGCTGGCTTCGACCGCACGCTTGGAAGAAGGGGTCGAGGAGATATTGAAGTCGATTGGTCTGCCATGGTGAGCATTGGCGTGCGACATCAGTGACTCTGTTATTTTGATCGTGTTCTTGGTGGGAATTTGGTCGTCCGCGATCACGACAACTTCTTCGTGATTGCTCACGACGCGTCTGAGGTGATTCTCGCGATGGTTCATGTCGCCTATCCTTAGAAAATCAGGCTTACGAAATCCAGAATCTGTTTAGTGTCAGTTGAATCCTTGGACAGTAGGATGATGGCTAAGCAACTTTCGATCCGACTCCAAAGCTCAGACAACGGCTCCTCTTCGTGCATGATCATGGAGATTGTCGGTGTCTCCAGATGGCTATCTCGAATGCCTGTCTGATCGATTTGTTCGGCATATTGGGCCTTCTCTAAGCCCTTGATCACGATTTTGCGAGAGTCCGTGGGGACGACTAGGGGCGTTGTAGAGGCCATCGAGTGCGACACGTCGGCAAATTGTGTACAGTGGACAATGAGTCGAAGAATGTAAAAGAGAGGGATGATGTGACGATCAGATCGAGGTGCAAGCAGGCTTCAGGATAGCCTTGTGCCTTGCCAGGTGGGGTCATGTCAGCTGCATGCGCGCGCGTCGTTCCTTCGCATTCAACCGGGCTGACACGACTGCCTTCTTCACATTGCGATAAGCCTCAAGTAAAATGTCTTTTGGCTTCTCGATAGGGGATATCAGTATGTGTACGAGACTGCAGTCCTTTGCAATAGTGCTGACTGAACCTAGTCCTCCTTAGCCAATTAGCCTACGACCTCTATTCGACCCTTAGCTCTGGGAGACAGGCTGCATCGCGTGACTTGAAAGAGCTCGAAGAAGTACTATTTAGTTTGAAATGCGCTTTAGATCACCTCAAAGTAGCCTCCAGAGACGTTCTCGCCAGACCAGACTTGCAACATGGGGGATCAGCGCTTAAAGAGAAGTTGGACATGATGATTGGATCATGTGCTTCCACACTCCAAGAGCTGGACACAGTGACAAAGAAGTACCGTGACGTCGAGATCCAGGCAAATAAAGGAAAGACGAAGTTGCGCACGCTGGAAGACGTGAAGAAGAGTATGAAGGTCAACTGGCAGAGAGTGCGATGGGACCGCGAGAAGCAATCGTTACAGCAGTATCGGGAGAAGTTAAAGTCGCACACCGATGCGATAAACCTCATGTTGACTTCGATAATCTGGTAAGCCTCGTACCTTTGACCGTGGGAGGACATGGGCTAATCGGTGTTCAGGGCAAACACTGCGTTCGCGAATGCTGATAGCAAGAAGAGCCACGATATAACGCACTCTTTGTTAGATAACATGTTGCGCAACCCAGTTGCAGATCCTGGAATTCGGGGTATGGTGGAGGAGATGCACGTTATGCTCACCAATCCGACTGCCAGGTCACAACAAGGCCAGATGAAAGTGAAACGAAGTACGGGATTGTCCCACAACCAGTTCGATGTCACTGCAAATTCGCTGAGCGGCCCGTCATCTGAGGAAGCACCGAATCCGAAGCCAGAAGCCATCCGAATGGCCACAATGCAAGGTACACAATCGCCTCAGAATCAGCTCGGTACTGCACACCCTTTCGGTGAAGCATCATTTGACGATTCCTCTGTTCCCAAAAAAAAGTACGGAAGAGGTACACCTGTAGTGAGCATGTACGCAATGACAAGTTTGCCCGAAAGAACGGAAAGGGTAGATGAATATGTCAGACCCACCCCAAGAAGAGTATCGACGCAAGGCCTTGCCCGTGTATCGTCTTGGATAGGGCAAAATAGTGCAGAGAGCGCAAACGAGCCAAGCACACCCTCTGTACACCATACGGCTCACACGCAAAGTATGGGGTCGAGTGAGATTTATCACAAAAAGTCCGGGAACCTTGCGGAGAGCACATTTCGTCAAGAGCGTCTGACAGACCATGTCGAGCTACCAGCGGCCACTGTACAACTCAACAACGAACGCCGCGCTTTCGGAGCAAAGGAGTACGAAGCCTTCAAACAGCGATGCGCAAAGCCGAAGAAATTCGCGAAGCCGTCTTTCCTGACGAGTGTGACGCCCAGCATTCAGCACCTCCAAGCCTGTATACCGCATATCTTCCAATCGACAGCAGAGGGTAAACAGCAGACGCAAGAGCTGAAGAACGAGATAAGCAGATGGACACAGGAGTTCGCTCGCTTCGTCGACGACACTAGAGCAACTCAGTCCAATAAAGACGGGCATATCTTGACGTTGTTAGGAGCGCTGAACGAGGCAGTCGATAGCAGTACTGGAGATATGAGAAAGCTGTTCTACGAGACTTCGGACTCGGCGGGCTTCACATCAGTACTGAACCAGGTGGAGACGATGTCGAAAAGCGTAAGGGTGATGAAAGAGATTGAAGAGTTCCAGGATGCCAAAGAGGAATGGTCAGAGCGAACTGTCAGATAACTCTGTATAAGGTGCTCGTAAGCGCATCAGTTCCTGCACTTGTATTCGCTGAAGGACCGAACAACGACAGTAACTTCGCGTTCCCTGAGTGCTTCTTGTGCCCTTGCAATGTGCTCTGTAGGACGTGCCCGGCTTCGCCGCATGCTCCCTTGAACATGAGCACGTTCTTGGTCTGCGAATCTACAAAGAGGCCAGGTTCCATATCAACAAGTTGGGACTCGTCCGGATTATGAGGTATGATGTCGTGGATTATCAGACGATCACCGGTGGGTAGTAGACACCACAAGTCGCCAAGTGCGTTGCGTTTGGCAATGACGTCTGCCAGGGTATGTTTTCGAAAGTCGACATAGCGATTTTGCTTGGTGACCTTCGGTGCGTGGTCGATAGGGCCGTCGGAGTGGGCATACCATCCAACATCCTCATGCGGAGGCACAAATCTCCGTTCCTTCAAGATATGTACGAGCATTTCTGCTCCAGCCGCGGCAAGCCGTTGCTCCAATATCTGAGCCGTCTCAGGACTCGGTTCGGAAGGAATGGCAATCTCGTAGCCAGGCATGGGGGTTTGGGCAAGGATAGTACCCTGGTCGAAATGCCTTGGATGCAGTGTTTGCACAGAGACACCGGTGTACTGCCGCCGCTTCAGTATGGCATGTGAGACGGGTGCTGGGCCACGCAGATCGGGAAGCAGCGAGGGATGCACGTTGAGACCGCCGTATTGCGCATAGTTGAGGATTCGCGGTGGGACGAGGAGGCCGAAGGATACGGCGATGACGACATGTATGGGGGTGGGTGGAGTCCAGCCGGTGAAGGTATCGATCACATGGGTGGGCAGGTTGAGCTCTTGGGTGGCTACCTGCTTGATGGGTACTGTAACGTGTCAATTGATGTTGTGTTGTAGTCAAAAGACGTTCCTACCCTCTCTCAGCGTCTTCAGTCCCCGTCCGGTGGGCTTCGGTGGGCGATGGATGACATCAATGCTCTCAATGAGGCCGGGCACATGCCGCTTCGCGTCTGCTACGGCGCGCAGTGACGCGATGCTGAAGGCGTCAGAGCCACAGAAGAGAATCCGCAATGGCTCCGACGTCCGAGCGGGAGCAGAGGTAGAGCTGCATCGGCAGGGAGGAGTGGCGATCAAGGAGCGGACGGGGCTGCGCAGCCTCCAGATCATGGCTCAGAGGTGAGGAAGCTCGGCGACAAAAGCCGCGCCGCAGGGTCTGGACGTTGCGATCGTGATCCCGTGGGGCATCTCGACCACGACAATCGGAGGGATCCCTGCCGCCCGGCCGCCGCATCGCGATGGACTGCAGTGCCTGACTATGGAATACAAATAGGCCACGACGACCGCTCGTTGTTCGGGTTGCGCGTTGGCACGTTCGCTGGCTGGCTTCTCCTCCGCGTCTCCTCCGCACGCGTGACGTAGTCATCCATCACCCAAATCCACCAGAAGCGCCGCGCGACCAGGCCCTTCGCAGAATGCACACATGTCTTCCACGGCGGTTCCCAAGGTCGTCCCGGCGCAGCTTTCCTTTCTAGCCATATACAATCCCTCGCTCGGAACATCGGATGAGACTTTCCACCAGCAGATTGTCTTCTACTACTCCAAGGCCGCCAAGACGCGCTCCAAGCTGAAGGATGGCGACACAGAGAGGCAGGAAGAGTTGCGCGAGCAGGAGAACGAGAAGCTTCGCCAGGTCGGCCTAGCTCAGGGCATGGTAGGCTTCGCGAAGTAGGACGCATGCAGGCGAACACTTTCGTGTATATGGCTAATACCGTGCAGGAGTTTCTCCAATGGCGAAGCAGTTGACTCTGTAGAAACACAAAAGTCGCGCATCGTTCTACGCGAACTGGAGAATGGGTGGTGGATATTGGCAGTATGTATGCTCACGTGCTCAGCAACACTACGACTAACACCACCATAGTCCATTGATCTCACCCAACTCCCACCGACCGGCGGCCTCACACGAACCGACTCGAGCACCGATACCACCGAGCCCATAATCGAATACTCGTCACGCGAAGTCAGCCCGCCTGCGCTCCTGATTCAGCAACTCGTGCGCGCCCAGTCCGTCTTCCTGCTACATCATGGCTCAACACTCGAGAACATGTTCTCTAAGCACGGCCGTGCCAAGTTCTGCAGTATACTCGACAAGTACTGGTCGCGATTTGCGAGTAGCTGGGACGTGCTGCTACATGGAAGCCCTGCAGTGGACATATACGGTGGCATGAAGCTGGCAGCCGGTGGCGAGCTGGGGATGGGTGTTGGTGAGGAGGAGTGGGGAAGTAGTGAGCGAGACGTATTAGAAGACTTCGCACGAAGGACGTCTGGTCTCGTCGATGTCATGGTGTCCCGCTTTGGCGAAGCATCACCTCTACAACAAGCCAAGACATCCACCGATCCGAAGACACTCGAAGTGTCAGAGCTGGAACCCTGGATAGGAGTCGGAAAGAATGTCCATGCCGCAGATGGCGTTGTCTTTTCGGGTCTGGGAGCTGTGAGCAGGAAGTCATTGCGAGACTTGTCTCACTGGGTAGAGACTATCTACGCTCACGGCGAGTACGCTTACGGCGTACGAGACAACCCCACATCTGACCGCAGGAAACGGCGGAGGAGAAATCTGAAGCCCGAACCCGAACCAGAAGAGCCGTCGCCTCCAATACGAGAAGAAAGGCCGCGCTTCCCTCCGTCGAGCAACGGCTCCCTACCACCGGGTATCCCTCCGCCTATTGTCAAAGCAGCCGAGAACTCTCTTGACAAGGCCTCCGCCGCCGTCCAAAACAACAAATCCCAGCCCGACTCTACTGCACCTGAGTCCAAGCCAATGTTAGCGTCTCTGGGTGACACCGAGACCTGGATGAAGTACATGACACTTGGCTATGGGACAGCATGGGGTGGAAAGAAGAGTGCCGAAACCTCGGAATCTGCTGCTCCAATGCCAGCACCGCCAGCACCGGCACGCGAACGCACCCCTTCACCAGCAGCGATGCGTTACATAGATCCTACGCCTGATGTGGATCCAGCAGAGGAGAAGATGAAGCAGCAAATGCGTCTAGAGAACGACGGGTATTTCCTTGTAGGACTCAAAGGCGATCTGCAGGACCTAGACATCGACGACGAGAACGGGGAGGGCGACTGGAACATTCGTATACCGCTGCGGACCATCCATGTGGAGGTCGACAGGCGAGAAGCTTCACTGAAAACAGAAGATGGCGACTCGGACTCGACTCCGCAGTACGAGAGAGACATGAAGGTGGAACCGACAACAGAGAACAAACTGTCACGGTTACGACCTGTTGTCTACGTTGTAAGTCTACGCATCACCTCCAGATTCCTCCCCCTACTAACACCTACCCCAGCACCGACCCTTCGTCTACACCTTCCTCTTCGAACACCGCACCCACTCCCTCGGCGTCGCATCCTTCTACCGCGACATCCACAACTTCTTCTCGCCCCTCCACCGCTCCCTCGACAAAAGCACATCCCCCAGCCTCGTCGCCGCCCGCCTCCACGCCGTCTCAAACCACTACACAACAGAAGCCTCAACCGGCGGCTCAGGCCCCTCCTCCGGCCCCAACACACAAACTATATACGACCTCGTCTACGACCCCCGCACCTACACCGTGCATTCCAGCCTCCCCAACATCCCCGATCCAGGCACCCTCCTCGCCGAAGGCCTCGGCAGTAATAGTACTAGTTCGCTCGGCTGGAGCAGAATCGAAGCCCTGAATGTACATTCCCAGATCCTCGCCACGGTAGCGGGTACACGCCGCAACCTCTCAGAAATAGAACGCACATGCAAAACATCCCGCGGCTGGTGGGTCGTCTGGATGCGTCTCCCACCCTCGCAAGTCAGCAACGAAGACACCGCGCAGAACACTGCTTCGAATGAAAACGCCGGGTCAGGACATGGCTCCGGCCAGTTCAATTCCAACGAGCTGCGTGAAGCGTTTCTGGTGAGGAGGGCGAGGGATACGACGGCGCATAGTGCGAAGAGCTCGAGTAGCTTTGCGAGTGGCATGTGGAGTGGGCTTGGTATGGGAGGTGGGAGTACGTCGCGGAATGAGAGGATGGGTGGGAGTGCCGCTGGGTGGGGGCCTAAGGGGTTGGCCGAGGGGATTGGGATTGATGCGAGGAGGTATGTGGAGGAGTTGTTGAGTTTGAATAGGTAGATATTGTGTTGTTGGAAATTGAGGGCGTGGAATACAATGAGCGGATCAGGCAAACGCGATTTGTCCTGTCTACAAATGCCGCTTCAATCATCTTTACCGTCTTGCCCTCGCCTCCACTCTTCCCACCCATTGACGATCAAGAAAATATATGCTGCGCCTTTGATTCGGACTGGAGCATGAGTTTCGTCTCAGGCTGATAATTTCGATTCAACAATTTCATACTCTCCACGCTCCAAATGCCCCAGAAAGGCCTCAATATTCCTAACCATGCCCTTGAAAGAATCCTCCGGTATCATATTGAACTTCTCAAGCTTCTTCAGGTCAACCAGCCCTTCGCGTATTATCTCAGCCCTCTCTTCTGAGCTCTTTCCCTCAAATACAGGCCGGCCTGGAATACGGTTCTTCTCCGCGTAAGTGGGCGCCATGGCTTGGTAGATTAGTGTCGTCACTCTTTCGAATTCTGCGTTGTTCTCTTCTGTTATACCTGCCTGCTTGGCGTGACGACTGATTCTTTCGTGGTCTTCCGCGGTGGAAGAGGAAAAAGGTCCTTCTGGTACAGACGAAGCGGTGGATAATTCGCGGAATGAGGGTGGGACTTCGAGCAATCTTGAGCCTTTTTGGGTGAGGACCTTGTTTAGAGAGGCTTGTATGACTCTGTCGTCGGCGTTGACCCATATTGCCCAATTGTTGGCGTAATGTTCCCGTTCTGCCTCAGAGAGGGGGTTTGTGAAGTGGAGTTGACTGGAGATATTTGTCAGCGAGATTGAAGTGCGTGGGCTGTAGCGGGGTCGTGTACTTTGCCAGTCTCTCCATAAACTTTGTACACATATTAGGCTCGTTTTCTAGTTCTGCTTTAAGAATGCTAGCGGCCTTGTGTACTGGCGCTGAGAAGACTTTCGTCGCATCAGTGTCGATGCCAATGGTCAGCTCTTGGTGGCACTTCTCGTGGAACATAATGTTCAGTGGAACGGTTGGGTCCCCATTCCATCCTCGAGTACCTAGGAAAGGGAACTCCTGGTTCTCCATGTCGTCTTTCAGTGCCTCGTGTATCCTGGCGCTGATACGTGCCGTCTGCTTGAAGAGCAAGATGTGGTTGAAGTGCAATTTGGGAATCTCGTATTGAATAGTACGACGAAAGATCATCAGGTACCCAACTAGAGTATGTATTCCAAAAGCCTTACGGTCTTCGGGGTCATGACCGACAATACGAAGCGCTTCGCGTCGAATGATATCTTGGAGATCCTTGTTGACAATGTTCAAGAAGTCCCGTCGATTTGTTCCGTCTTTGAAGAGTGCGTCAATGATGGGGGTGTTGACAGCTTTGAGCTTCGGTTCAGTGTTATAATGAAGTCTGCTGGGTCGGTTTCCTCGGGCGAATGCAGAAAGGGGAATACCATGTGACAGTAACGTACGTTGGTAACATTGCTGTAGAGATTTGGGTCGATCTCCACCGAATATACTTTTGTCTCCAATGACGTTCAGGAAACCCTCCATATCGGGCCACTCCGTTTCGAGTACGCGCGTGTGCAGGCTTGGAGAAGACACACTGTGGGCTTGTCGGAGGTAGTTGTAGAGGTGTGCGTATGCTACCGGATAGCCAACGTGGCTATGCAATACCATGTAGACCTCATTGACGGCTTGTGCAGTAACAAAAGCAATCATGCCAGCAAGAAAAGGGTTGTGGCGTGGCCAGCTTCCAAGGGAGACACCATTGACCACCTCTTTATCGGCAGGAAACCTCCCACGGGTCGTAATCATCTTGATGGTGGCACGTCGAGTCCAGAATATGTCGCCCACTAGCCAGTCCTTTACAACTCTTACCGTCTCCGAATCTTTTCGAAGGAAAGACTTGAGTCCTTGACGGACACGCTTTGAAGTGAACGGCCACTCCTTCAGCTGGTTCAATACCTGACCGGCATTACTTCCGTCTGAACCTGCGCCGTAGTTTTTGCTTGACCAGTTCTTCCGGTAATCATGTGGTATGATGCTCGAATCAGCCAG